TTTGCAGTCTACCTGTAATTACAGTATAAACACAATGAGCAGGACAGCAGGGTGACTTTCATGGATTCAGGTATCATCTTGTTTCAGCTTGTGCTTTGTTATTTCATCTCTGGAAGAAACAGATAATTTAAACACACAAACACACATACAAAACCAGCTGGTTCTAGACCAGTTATAACAACTTCATGTGTTTCAGAGATCAGGCACAGAGCCACAGTTTTGAACTACAGGTACACAGATTTAGGGCAAACATTAGGAAGGATTCCTTAATTGTAAGAGCTCAGGATGGTTGCAGAATCTCCTTCATGGATGGTTTCTAAAATGGAGTTAGATAGATGGGCAAATATTCAGATGAAGGATACCCAGATTAAAGTAAGAGGTTTGGACTAGATCAACTTCCAAACTGATGACTAGATCAATAAAGGTGAACAGCATGTACAGGAAAAAGTCTTTTTCTTATTGCAGTCATTTTTAATATTAAAAGTTTAACCTGTTTCATTACTGTTGCTGTCATTATTAAAAAGAGTTCTTTTTTGGGTGGTCACCTGCAGCGATGGTGCTAGTGCCGATTCTCAAAACCTTTCCAGGCCTACGCAACGTTGATCCATTCAGGCACGTGGGCCAGCCAAGGCAACATAAGGTCCAGAGAGCCTCAGAGACCGCAACACACAATTAGCAGGTTCTGATCAGAATTCAAACTGTAGGTTTGGACTGAATGTTTGAAAGCTCCCTTGTGGTGGTCATGATGATGATGATAGGCTTCATAGTGTTCAGAAGCACTTCACAGGTATAATGTTCTGGGAAAGAGTGAAAGAGCACACCTTGTGAGTTCATGGCAGAAACATGATCATAAAAGCACACCCTAATTCTTTTGTCAACACATTAATTTTGAATTTTAAAATTCAGTGCATTTGTATGCATACCACTCTAGGTAGACAATTTCACCATAGGTCCAAAGGACAATCCCTTACATCGACCTAACCCTCACTCAAGAGAGCAATAGCAACTCATACAACAATCACTGCAGAAAAATTGGATTGCCTCTATTTGACCCACCAGGTGAATGGAGCGTTTAGGTGCATAATGGTGTTTACATACGTGAGGATGTGGCAATACCTTGTATTGGTCCAGCTTCACGTGGTGTGGGTGGGTAAGCATTCCAGTTTCAAAATGCATCTTAGCTGTGAAACTTGGATCGAAAATGGGATAAAGTACAGATAAAATGGAAACATAAATTCACTCTGCAAACAACTGTCCATTTTGTTGCGGTCGAAACAGATATTGCCGCAGCAGCTGTGCCCCTCTCCCTTCTTCCAGCTGCTTATCTGGTTTAGACTGTGTGGAGTGGAGTTTTCCAGTTGGGCTTTGCAGGACAAAGACAGGGAGGAACTGGAAAACAACGTGACACCAAGATACCCGTACCAGTAGAGGACAAAGTTATTTTCCTGTATTTAGTGCTTGGTTTCTACTTCTTTAAGGTGTTTTGGCATTCATGAGGTAGCAGATTAGCATCTATACACATCAGAATGCTTCTTCTAAGCCCACAGTACATACTGGCCTGCCCTTTTCTACTCTGAGCATGAATGCACATGACGGCATGCACGCACACCCAGTCTCTTTCTAAGCACAGGACCTGGAAAGGAGAACACTCTTTTGCAATGTCCTAGACATATGCAGGCAGTACAGGTAAATAACAGACCATGAAAAAGAACCCAAACTATTTAATGTTGTAGTAATTTTGATGGGCAGAAATGCTATATTAATTTATTGAATCTTTGGAGGGCAGATGTAGACAAAGTGGGGAAATGATTTATTGCATCATTGTAGAAGAAATTCAAATTTATTTGGAATGAATTTGACTTAACACATGAAATTTGTATTTTCACACATCTGGCTTTGTGACTATGATAGAGAAGAGTTGTAGCTCAGTGAGAAAACATCCATCTTGCATTCAGAAGACCCCGGGTCCAATCCCCAGCATCTCCAGGTAGGGCTAGAAATGGCCCTGTCTGAAATCTTGGAGAGCCACCATCTGTCACTGTAGTCAGTGCTGAGCAGATGAGCCAATGTTCCAAAGTTCAGCTTCCTGTACAGTGGTGCCTCGCAAGACGAAAAGAATCCGTTCCGCGAGTCTCTTCGTCTTGCGGGTTTTTTCGTCTTGCGAAGCAAGCCCATTAGCGGTTTAGCGGATTAGTGCTACAGTACTGTATTAGCGGCTTAGCGGGCTTAGTGGATCAGCTGATAAGCGGCTTAACGATAAGCTGATAAGCGGCTTAACGATCAGCTGATAAGCGGCTTAGCATCAGCTGTTAAGCGGCTTAAAGGTCAGCTGATAAGCGGCTTAGCATCAGCTGTTAAGCGGCTTAAAGATCAGCTGATAAGCGGCTTAGCATCAGCTGTTAAGCGGCTTAAAGATCAGCTGATAAGCGTCTTAGCCATCAGCTGATAAGCGGTTTAGCGGCTTGGGAAAAAGGGGGGGGGAGGGAAAAAACCCCGCAGGAACTCGCAAGACATTTTCGTCTTGCAAAGCAAGCACATAGGAAATTCGTTTTGCGAAGCACCTCCAAAACGGAAAACCCTGTCGTCTAGCGGGTTTTCCGTCTTGCGAGGCATTCGTCTTGCGGGGCACCACTGTATTCCTAAGTCCAGTGAAGCATGTATTTCAGAGCAGAAGCCTGAAATACAGAAGCAGAAGCATTCAAATCTTTCAAAAAGTTAAGGTTTCCCATGTTACTGCAACTTAAAAAAAACCCTCAGCTATCCAAAGTACTGTATTATTCCATGTTAAACTGGCAATTAAAGTGCTTTATTTTTAACACAGTTAGTAAGTGATCAGTATTTCATTTTGATCAAGTAAATGTGATTTGTTAAATCCATCTGGCTTTTTGCTTGTGATATCCAGTGAAGCACATTTTTCAGAGAAAAGTTTGTAAGTGGTTAAAGAAACAGTCAAAGAAGGAGTCTAAATGTTGAGGTTTCCTGATACACACACAATAATAAACTATGTTTTATTCCATGTTAATCTGGCAGTTAGCATCTTCTCTAATCCATATAGAAAACAAATGATCAATGTTACAAAATTACTGGACTCTTAGTTTGTAAACCAACTTTTCCTGTTGGTGTTAAGCACTTTTCCGGAAAAGATTAGCATCTGGGATCAGATAAATCATTTCGCAGACCTAAACTGCATTATGACAACATAAAGATATTCCATAACCTCTTTTAAAATATTCCTGTGACATCCCTGAAAGGCAACAGCATTTTTCTCTTCCATTTGAAGAGTACAGCGAGGAAGTCTTTGCCAGGTGGATATGTCTTCTCCAAAATTGCAATACAGAGCCAACATTCTGTTTGTCAATTGCTAAAAAAGAAAATATGATAAGCTGGCAACTTAACAGAAAAAAACCCAAGTGAGGCGAGGTGTCAAGTGGCTTAGGAGCTTGTACCCAAGTCTCACTGCTAAGTTTTTAGGCATGCTAAATCAACCTTCTTATGGGTAGGCCTTTGTTGATCCAAAGTCCCTAACCTGGAACACAGAGATAAGGTTTGCCTGGTAAGGCTTGTGTAGCTGTTTCTATCTACATAAAATGTGCACAGAAAAGGGCTGCATTTTTATCACTGAGAGAAAAATATCACAGTTTCCTCTTCCCTGGAGATTTTTAACTAGAGCTGCTGTCCTATGTGCTCTTACATTGGAGGAAGAATATAGTAGAGGTTACTCCCCAATTATACAGGATTCCACAGCATAAATTATAGTCTTGCAAGACTAACAATCCTAAACTGAGGCAAAAGTTGCAGTATTTTGATGAACATTTTTGACAATTTGGGGTGTTGCTCATAATAGAGTTAGGGCCTGCCCACATCAAGCTGATATCAAATTTAAGACATTTGTGATGCAGTTGGTTGACCACCGGCCCACAAAGCAGAGATTTTGTCTGGATCTGGTGCACTGGCCTCAGTGGCATCTTTACATAGGGAATCGGAATACCTGTGCAGCACCCCTGAAAACACTATGTGCACCCCCAAAACCAAAGTGGGAGATCATACACCAGAGCCCCACCAAAGTGTAAAAACATCACAGAGTCTGAATGGTTTTCAGGGGTCATCTAGTCTCGTGTTGGACAGCTGGCATGCCAGTTCTTCTCACAAAGGTGAAGGGTCATGGAATTCAAATACACAAAAGTGCTTCTCAGTAATGTATGAACTGGCCAATATAAAAATATATCCTTTCTTTGCCTCGGTTGAAAACTGCTCCAATATATTCCACTGACTTGCACATGCCAGTGGAGGGTAAAAAATATTCGAGGGTGGGGAAAAAATGCTCGTTTCAAGGCAGTAACTCCATAAGCAGGAGAGGCGTAGCAGTCATCGTTGGAGAATGGGACAGATGACTGCCTTAATAAAATAGAAGGGAGGGAGGAAAAGAGACAGTCATAGAAGTGGATAAGGAAGAGAATAGGAGACGTTAATTCACTCTGAGACTACCAGAGACACACCCATGAAGTATCAGGTTGGTGTTGTTCTGAGAGGATTAGCTGGACCTCGCCCTTTTGGGAATTCTCAGCTCTGTTTTTGTTATCGTCACCCAACTAAGGTGCGGCAATGGAAGGGTCACATGAAAGGTGAAAGAGATGTTAACTGCTCTTGCTTGCCCCTAGCAAGGAGAAATGCAGAACAGTCAAACCAGGTGAGGTGAAAACAAGACTGGGAGGCTCAAGAGCAGAAATAACAAAATCCATACCAGGCCTTTCCTTGACATTCCTCCTTTTTCCACACCTTCTGATTTCTTAGTTACAAAATATACAGCTTTGTGATAGTTTTTGACTTACGTGTTCTCTTAAATCCCCGCCCCCCCAACCTCTGGTTATTCTGCTCCCACTCCAGTGTTAAGCCCATGAGTCCATGAGAAGCCACAGCTCAATAGTCATAGAATCATAGGATTGTAGCGTTGGAAGGGATCCCGAGGGTCATCTAGTCCAACCCCCTGAGATGCAGGAATCCTGCCCTGGGTGGGCTCAAACCACCAACCTTCTGGTTAACATCCAGGCGCACTGACCCATTGCACCACTGGAGGAGCACACAGAAGCAGTCCTTGCTGCCAGTGCTAAGGGAGCTGGGAAGCAGCCCTGCCCAGATGATGTTTGCTCCAATTCAGCGATAAAGATCAGGTTTCCCAGGGGGAAAGCGGCAGGACAAATGGAAGTCCAGATGAGCCCTCCAACATTTCTCCATTGAAAATAGGGACATCCTATTCTATTATTATTATTATTATTATTATTATTATTATTACCCCACCAATCTGGCTGGGTTGCCCCAGTCATTCTGGGTGGCTTCCCTTCCCTATACAGGGCTGACTTCAGATGTCTTCTAAAGATTGTATAGTTACTTATCTCTTTGGCTCAGGAGTCGCATAACTCCATACCCTCCCAGATTTCTCTGATGAAAATAAAGACACCCAAAGGAAAAGCGGGAAATTCCAGGATTGAATCAGAAACCAGGACAGTTTCAGTAAATCCAGGGCTGTCCCTGGAAAATAGGGAAACTTGGAGGGTCTGGTATAAACCAGCTTCCTGTGTTCCTATGATTATGTGAACAGCAGACATGTTGGTACTGGTGAGCAGGAACCAAAGGCTCCCCTTATTAGCTGCATCACTGCAAAAACATCAGGAAGAAATAGAAAAGGGTCATCTTTTCAGTAGGAGATTATGTGTGATGGACAAACCAGGCATCCTGGTTATATTCCTTTAGGCTGAGACACTGGGAAATCAGAACTTGGTGTTCCTGCCCTTGTTTCCCGCTGACTGAGCCAGCAGAGACTGCGAACACAGATTAAGAAGCATTCTCAGCCCCTGGAGGAGAAGGGAGTGGCTCAAATCAATCAACTCCGGATCTCTTTACTCAGTTTAAAGAGCATTGCTGACAGGCAGAAAAAGCACTGGAGGCCCATTCTCCCTAGCCAGAAGAGAAAAACACACACACAACCAAAACTGGAACACGGAGCCCAAAGAAAGGAGAGAGGTAACAATAAGGCAGCAGAGAGGTGGTTTTGTTCCATCCTCTGTCATTATTTCAAGTTTTAGATTGACTTTGACATTCTATAAAAATGTATTTACTGATTTGCAGACTGAGCACATGCTCCTGCTGGAGTGGGCTGTGAGAACCAGGCTGGTGTAAGGACTCCTTTGAATGGCACAAATGCAGTAGGCAGACCTTGGGGGCCTCAAATTTCAGCAGCGCATTGTGTGACGCCAAAATTTGGTGCTCCCGCCTCTTGCCTTCCGTTCTATATCATAGTTGTGGCACCCCCTGCGGAACCCCCCAGGCTCCGCACCCAGCGCAACGGAACCACTTGCGCTCCCCTAAAACCACCTCTAGCCAAAGTGATCGTGAGGGGGTGATGCCTATCTTCTCAGCAGTAGTGCTTTATGGCAAAATGCAACACTAGTGAGTTCGAGATGTTTTGCTGCAGTTTTGCAACACTAGAATTCAGTAAAGTATATCATCATCATCATCATCATCATCATCATCTTTATTGCAGTCCAACGACCCATAACATGGATTCAGAATAAAATACAAATTCATACAGACAACCCCCCAGGGAAGGGAGACCAAAGCGTTACAGTGGTACCTCGGGTTACATACGCTTCAGGTTACATACGCTTCAGGTTACAGACTCCGCTAACCCAGAAATAGTACCTCGGGTTAAGAACTTTGCTTCAGGATGAGAACAGAAATCGTGCTCCGGCGGCGTGGCAGCAGCAGGAGGTCCCATTAGCTAAAGTGGTGCTTCAGGTTAAGAACAGTTTCAAGTTAAGTACGGACCTCCAGAACGAATTAAGTACTTAACCTGAGGTACCACTGTATTTGTTTAGTCATGGGTATGTTGATCTTGGATTCATATGACTACTGAAAGAAACTTTGCCACAGCCACTGTGATATCATTGGACTTGTCCAGAAGATATTTGATACAGTAGGCTTCAGATTGACCCGGCCCATTTGTCAATAGTGGTTTAATCAATAGTTCCCTAGCATGATCATATTGACCGCAATGCAATAAAATATGCCTCATGCAGTCGACGTCCTGAGAGCATACACAGATCCTATTTTGATAAGGGATACCTCTCAGCCTGCCATTTAACACTTCTGATGGGAATACATTTAATCTGGTTTTGGTGAAAAGACGCCGATATGTTGGTACAGACAAATTTCTAAGATATGCTGGTATCTGAAAATTGAACCCATAGTGAATTCCTACTGCTAATGGGCCACAGATAACATTAAATTGAGATCAGAGATCACTATGTGATATGTCCCATAGCCTTTGCCTCAGAGATTCAAGGGCAGTATCATAGCCCACATGGTACAGGAGAGAAGGTGGCATACCAAGCCAAGTGGCTTTTCTAACCATAATTTTCATCCATGAGCTGGTAAACTCCTCATTGTTTAGGTATGGAAGTAACCCCTTCCCTAGACCAAAGACTGAGATCTTGAGCCAGTATCTCAGGGAAGCCCACCATGCTTTAGTTCATAGAGGACATTCACCTGTTTCTAAAAATAGTTTTGCATTTGGAACACAATTTGGAACTTGTAGGAGGGACCGGAGAAACTTTGCCTGAAAGCCATCGAACCTGGAGAATGAGCCATTGAACCAGACATTTGAGGCGTAGAGGAGTTAAGAGACAGTTTTTGCATTAAATACCTTAATGGTTGATGGAACATAATGGCCTCCCCTTGTATAAAAGAATCAAACTATAGCCAGTTTGATTACTTCTGCCTTTTGATAGGCGGTCTGCCAATGATGTTTCCAGGACTTGGAATGATGGAATAGAAGCCCTAGGTATCAGAAGAATTCGGTCTGCTCTAGTGTGTGACCGTCCAGTACCCATTTACTTGGGGAGAATCTCTTCTCAAACACCAGGACTTTTGATTTTTCGTAATTGATGGATAACCCATTACCAGAGCAGTAGTCTGAGAATTTCCTTAGTTGGTAGTTCAGACCAGGTCTGGTTCGGGAGAGGATGGTCGCGTCATCCGCATACAACAAGAGAGGGGTCGTAAAGTATATAAGACATAGAACTGTAGAGTTGGACGGGACCTTGAGGATCATCTAGTCCAACCGCTTGTGATGCAGCTGTCCCATACAGGGACTGAACCTGCAACCTTGGTGTTATCACCACCATGCTCTGACCAATTGAGCTATCTATCTGAGTCATATTCAGAGCAGACCATATATTTCATGGAACAGACCCATTAACTGAGTATAGTTTAGATGGATATTACCCACGCATTGACTTCATGCAGCAATTTTAGCTATGTCATCATCTCAAAGATTCTAGAATGAGCTAGGTCCCAGGACAAGCAGAGATATGTTATCTGTCTGTTGTTTGCTGGTTCCCTCAGTCTTGGTTCTAGTTTTTTTCAGACAGATCTCAGCTAAATATCTGAGAGTTACAGATTCTCTCTCTGCCCCGGGGGGAGGGGCTCGACAACTAGCAGACCTGGAGCCAAATCTGGCCTTGCTTCCCTGTTTGGTAAGCCAGACGTGAAAGAGTAATGTTGAGGAAGAAGCATTTGTGGGGAATTGACGCAAGCTCCTCCACACACTCATCCAAGTGTCCAAGGCTTATTCTCATGGAGACAGATATGTTTAGGCTGCATGCCTGAGTGTTCCTTCAATCAATATCTGCTGGGCATTTATATAGCAGTAAGTCCTCTTCCTTCAGGCACTGATATGATTCTCAACACTGCATCTGTGCCTATAAGGTTTGTGCTGTCACCAATTGTTTTTCAGGCTACTTGCTTGTAAATCCAATTCTTCACAGCTCCCCTAATCATAGGCCTGCTCTTTTCATAAAACTTCTTGGTAAATGTGCAAGAAAGATTAAATGTGTTTTGGGAAACACATAAAGAATGCCCAGTGTTAGAAAAATCTGGTACATTGGAGTCAAATGGAAATGGTTCTCAGTCTGCTATTGCAAATTAAATTAGCTTGACATACAAAGAGTAAAGTATCCCCATAATCCCTTTTCCAACCATTTTAAATGTACATTCCTAATTGCAAGTTCTGAAGAGGCTTTGGCACAGCAAGAACCTACCTTTCATATAATTCACTGCAAGAGGTCAAGGGGACAAACAGAAGCAAGAAGGCAAGGACAAGCATCACCTGAGCTGCTGGGCAATTTGATATGCTTTAAAACGGGGAGACTGAGAACTCCAAAACACATGTTTCAATGGCTCCTGTGCAGTGATGAATGATTCACTGTACCTAATGCTAATACCTTTGTAGCATTTGGCATTTCAGTGTGCACTATTATATGGTGTAGATTAATACCTTATCAACTGTGAGCAGTATTAGTAGCATGCACACCAAAGGAAGGCAGGATTCCAGCAAAGGTCTACCCTGACTCAAGCCAGTTTCAACCACTTTCCAGCATTCCCTTTTTTTTTTTAAATAATTTTTTATTAAGGTTTTAAACAAAGAAAAAGAAAAAACAACACACACAAAAAAACAATACAAAATTTAACAATAAAAACACAAAACATAACAATTAAAAACAAACTCTCTTTTCCATTCCCAATTTTAAATTACTTATTTTCTGGACTTCCTCATACCTCCCTCTTTTGTATTCCAATCTACATTATTTGTCCAGCAGTTTCTTTTCCACTTTTTTAAACCCAATCTTTAATTTAATAAAATATTAAAATATATAGCTTCAACTTTTTTTTAAACATAATCCTTGTTCTTAATGTCATATACCTTTAAATTTTCTCCTTTTATTTTCAAATTTCCATTTCTTTAAACATCTTTAATCTTGATCTTTAATCTTAATCTATCCTTAACTTTAACCTGTACAGCTGGAAACCACTTATTTTCAATCCAACATCACTCTAACATTCCTTAATTTTGCAGTGTTTCTGAAGATAGTCTTTGAATTTCTTCCAGTCTTCCTCCATCGACTCTTCTCCCTGGTCACGGATTCTGCCAGTCATTTCCGCCAATTCCATATAGTCCATAAGTTTCATCTGCCATTCCTCCAGCGTGGGAAGTTCTTGTGTCTTCCAATACTTTGCGATGAGTATTCTTGCTGCTGTTGTTGCATACATAAAGAAAGTTCTATCCTTTTTAACACCATTTGGCCCACTATGCCCAGGAGAAAGGCCTCTGGTTTCTTGGGGAACGTATACTTAAATACCTTTTTAATTCATTATATATCATTTCCCAGAAAGCCTTAATCTTTGGGCACGTCCACCAAAGGTGAAAAAATGTACCTTCAGTTTCTTTACATTTCCAACATTTGTTATCGGGCAAGTGATAGATTTTCGCAAGCTTGACTGGGGTTATGTACCACCTGTATATCATTTTCATAATATTCTTCTTAAGGCATTACATGCCGTAAATTTCATACCAGTGGTCCATAACTGTTCCCAGTCAGCAAACATAATGTTATGTCCTACGTCCTGTGCCCATTTAATCATAGCCGATTTTACCGTTTCATCTTGAGTATTCCATTTCAGCAGCAAGTTATACATTCTTGAAGATTCTTAGTATTGGGTTCTAACAATTCTGTTTCTAATTTTGATTTTTCCACCTGGAAGCCAATTTTCCTGTCTTCCAGCATTCCCTTGCCTTGTAATTGAGGTAGTCAACAGCTCAAAAGTCAGATTTCAAGAAAAGCCTGTGAAAGACAGCCTTCAACAGCCTGGTGGCTTCCAGGTACTTTGGACTAAAAGATTTGCTCCCCACCCCTGCACTCAGGGAACTGTCTGGAGAGCAGCTTTATGCTGTGTGGGATAGCTAGAGAATCCAAATATATCATGTTTGGTCCTGGTGTGTGCAGAAGGCTGGCCTCTCACCTTGATCTGGGCTGTGGCTTTTCAGAGGTGACTTCTCCTCACTGCTCCCAAGTGCCCTCCAAGTGCTGATCCAAATAAATGTCCTCTGATTCACTCACTTTGCTTCTAGCCTCGCAAATGCTGAAGGGCAGTGGGAGGTTGGTTTAAAGCGCCATCAGACCACAGCATGAAAGGAAAGGTTGATTCCTCTTTGGGACTCTGCACAAGGTAGAAGAGTTAGAAGAAGGAAGCGGATGGATCTCTTGCACCCGGCATAAAGCTAGAGGCTGCTTCTTCTTCCACTGAGATGCCTACCATGTGAAGAGAAGTTGCTGGAGGAAAAGCGTCTTTCAAAATGTGCTGGAATGGGGCAGGAGGTCACCAGGAACTAATTCAGAGTTGCTAACAGAGGTTTGACTCTCTTAAGGACACTTCCAGGTGGTCACTATTTTTAGGTCACATTCAATCACATATTGGCAAACTCAGGTTGCTCCAAATAAAGCTGATTTGGAGTTCTTACCCAATAAATCCACTTCCCCAAACACTGGACCTTTTGTGATAAGAAAAGTGACGAGGAAATGAAGTGGAAATTGCAGGAGAACACCTGGAGGCCATCGCAATTAGCCTCCCCACAAACATTAAATGTAAAACAGTGTTTAATCTGCCTGCAAACAGATCAGAATGAATGCTCAATAAACAGTTGTCTGAAAGCATCCTTAGTGTGTACATTGATTCTGAATTTCAGAGTTGAAACAACCACCAAGCATTTCAACATTAACTTACAGTAAGTTATAAATCAACATCAGTTCTCTGTTACAAGTCACATAAGTAAAACTGAAATACAATTTTCACGTGTTTCTCTCTTTCCATGGAAGACTTGAACTCTGTAACCTTGCGCTATTAAGTAAAAAGTGCCACACCTGTCTGGACTGTATTTCTTTCACAGATTTACGGTGCTGAATGCCGAAACAATAAATTGGCACTTGTTTCATTCTTTCCTCTGGGGTTAAAAAAAGTGAACGGGCAGGTTTTCCTCATCTTTTTAAAAAGTGGCCTAGGCTTGGAAGGCAGAAACAAAATACAAATGGTACAGATTTTAACTTAGATATAAGAGGTGTGTGGTGCAAGCAGCCTTGCTCAATCCTGACAAGTTACGCTCACATTTTGGGTATCTGGCAATTGCGGCCACCCACTTACGGTTTATAGAACAGTGTTCTCAAACAGTACAGTATTTATTTGTTCAACTTATATATCACTCTTCATATATATAAAAAAACACCTCCTCGAGTGGCTTAAAAAACACCATTCAGCAGATACAATTAAAATTCAATTGCATTTCCAATATGAAGAATAACTTCCAAACAATTACTCCAGCAGCAGCTCCAATACAATATTATTTCACTTAAGCTCCCCAAAGGCCTAAGTGAAAAGAGGCTTCTTTAGCTGACATCCTGGAATGCCCAGTATCTCTCTACATTACATTTACACTCGTCAGTCGTCACGCTGATGGCCAACTGCATTTGCTTGAGCAAGTGGGCAGGAGGGATGGGGCAACCAGACCTTCCTATGCTTCCCTGTCATAGTTTTTGAAGGGCTGCTGAGAATTGTCACTCTGTGAGGGGTAAACTACAGTGCCCAGAATTATTTGACGGAAAGAACGTGCTTTGAATGTGATATAAAGGTGTAGTGTGCATCCAGCCAAATCCTCCAAAATCATTTCATAGCAGAAATTAACATGAATGGGGGTCTGAGTTTTAAAAAATTCCCTTCTCCCCTCCCTCAAGGTTTGCACAATCCAGCATTAAGTAATTGATTTTCAGTTTATTTTACAGAGCTGTTCAGTTGAGAAATAGTGTTTTGACTCATGCTTGGGGAAATATGAACCAGAGGTTTCATAGGAACACAGGAATCAGGTCAGTGACCTGTCCAGCTCAGTACTGTCTGCACCAGGGGTGGAGAACTGGATCTGACAACTGGACCAGATGGGGCTCCCCCACCCCTGGCAGGCCACTTTGACAGGTGCATGGGATTCACCCACCTGCTGATCACCTGGTGTCAGTCACTAAGACCTTAGGTGACTCATCTCCCATACAAGCTGCTCTACAAAGGAAAAGGCAAACCCAAACAAGCTTGAAGTTTCCACCCATCAGCTGACAGGCGGTGACGTCAAGCCTTGCTTTCCGCAGGGATTGGCTGTGCTGCCGAGTTCCCCATGGCACATGCTTTGCATACCCACAAGGATACTCATACCCACAAGCCCATGGAGAACTCAGGAGCACAGCTGATTCAGTGGGCTTGAAGTCAGTTTCTGTCAGCTGATAGGCGCTGATGTCAAGGCCCACTTTGGGCAGGGATTGGCCCCATGGGGACTCCATAGTGAAGCCAATGCTAGCTGGCTTCTTCTCAGTACTGGTCAGCTGATTGGCAATGACAGCAAGCTTCTATGAACGGCGACATCCAGTGTAGGGTAGGTGGGCATGGTTTGGGGGGCAAAATGAGGAGCCGAGCCAGGCCTTCTTAGGCCAAGGGACAAGAAGCCCTTGTTCCTCCCCCTGCCTACACTGACGGACCGTGGCTCTCCAGGATTTCAGCAGGGGATAGTACCAGCCCTACCAGGAGATGCTGTAGGTTTGATCTGGAACCTTCTGCATTCAAAAGCAAATGCTCTACCACTGAGCTATTTTTACTTATTTTATTCATTCAATTTGTACACTGCTCTTCATCGAATGATCTCAGGGCAGTTCACAGCATAAACATACAAAACAAAAACATAAAATACATAATAAAAACTAAAACAAACCTATACTCCCCATTCATCATATACAAAGTTGGGGAACCACTGGAAGAAACCTTAATGGTGAGAATAACTGATACACCCCGTGCCCTTTCATAGCATCCTTTCTTCCTCCAATGTTAAGTCAACTTGTGCCAGCTGTGGAGGATATACCTTACCATTTGTACTGCAAAGTGCCTGGAAATGTGGAGCCCCACCCACGCAATGTAGTGTGGAAAATATTGGTCCCCTCTTAGCCAAATCACACTGCATTTGTGCACCCATGTAATGACCTGTGCATGTAATTCTTAAGCCCGGAAGTGAATCGTTGGGCAAAAGCTGCCACTTTGAGTCACCCAGTCAAGCTGACAGGAGGACAACACCACATTCTTTTTCACTCAGGCTTTTGTGCAATTGCACTTGCCAGGAAAGCAAGAAAAAACAGGATGAGGTGTTGGGTTCCCTCCCATTGTGGCAAATATTAATATGGGATGTGCTATCTTCCTTAAATAGTTAGAATAGGGTGGGGTGGGGGAAAGAGCACCACTTTAATTCCTCTGGCTGGAGTAATCTTTTTTTTTTTTTAGTATCTCCCATTTTCTATTGAGTGTGTGGGATGTACGGTTAGTGAGAACACTCTGTAATGGTTTAGCATGAAAATTGCCCCCCTTTCACAAGTGGCCCTCTGAACTGTGGCCCTCTGAACTTTAGTGTAATTCTTTGTCTCCATTGTTATATAAGACATGGTTATAGGAAAAACTTTAAAAGATCATTAGAAAAAAGTAAGGTTACAATGCTATAACATTGGCCGAACTGTTCCCAATACTAGTGAAGAAAACACAATATTTATCCAACTACTGCCATGAAATGGCTATGGGGGAACAGGCATGATTTGGCATAACTGATGGTTTTGACATAGAATGGGTTGAACAGAAGACCATTGAGAAGCCACATGCCAGAACCTGGATCTCTTTGACTAAGCTGTTTGTGTTAACATGCCCTGTACTTGGCTTGCTACTGCTTTGCTGCAGGCAATGCTATTAGTCTCTCTCTCTTTTGATGAGCACGGTCCTTGTGCCAGAAATTAAACAAGCATTTGTACATACAAAATATGAATCACAAACAAATTGAGAGCAATAAACAGATGAGAGATAGATCACACTTTACATAACCAGACTATGTTCTTGTGTACTGGGGCCACGGCCTCTCGCTACAAGGCGTATTCTGTGAGACATTGCAGGTGTATTTCCCAGGGCTGCAAGGAGCAACAATAACAACAATTATCAGGAATTCCTGAAACAGGCCAGTCCTGTGTCTAGAGGGCAAGGAAGACCCTGCTTGACTGGCTACCACCTGAACCCCAATGTCAAGTTCTCAACCTTGTAGATCGTGGGAGATGAAGGTGACAGAATATCAAAAGCCCAGGATTTTCTTTTCAACTTTTTAATTATTACTATTTTTTTAAAAAACAAACAAACCCCAAAACTATGGTACAAAAAGTACACAATTCTGTGCAATAGAGAACTTTGATTGCATTTGTTCCACCAAGGCTGTTAAGACGATTCAGGGCCAAACTAGATGCATTCAGGAGATCGCTGATTTTTATCTCCTTGGTTGCTTGGCGTTGTTATATCAGTTGTTACTTCCATAGCTTCTTTGAAAATTGGGGAAGTGGTGCTCTGGGGGAGACTTTTAACCCTTCCCTCATTTGCCTTTACCTCAGTGAAAAAGGCCTCTTAAAGCTGCTGTTATCTGTGGAGGACCAGTAAAAGGTACAGCACCTGTACCTATTAATAAAAAGCAGGACACCAGTCAAAATATAATTAAAACAAATCCATTGCAACACTGAATAGCTTTTACAACAACAATAAAAAAGCAACAACACCCTCATTCCAACAAAAAACAAAAACACCTCAGGATCCTACCCATTTATAATTAAATTCCACACTTTAACAACAGAATCGACAGTCCCCCCTACTAACTAACCTTTGTCCACCTTCAGTGAAGCTGACAGCAACCAAAGGTTGTTTCATTCTGCCAAGTCCAGGCCTTTGGTCCACATGGCTCACGGTGGTCTCTAAACTGGCTGGCAGCAGCTCTCCAGGGTTTCCCTCAACAGCCTTTCCCAACACTACCTAGAGACACCAAAAATAAACTGGAGACCTTTGATATGCAAAACATATGCACTACCACTGCACTGCAGCCCTCCGCCAAAGGAAAGAAGGGTTAAAAACCTTATCCTGGTCCCTGAGCGCCACTTCCATAGTTTTAAAAGCAGCCATGCAGGGTTAGCTGTTTGTTTTAATGGCAAATTACAGGAGATCCTCATCCGAGTTCTCCTGCATCATATCTGGTTTGGCCCTCAGACATCACATCAAACAGATGATTGCTGGTACCAACCATAGTTTGCAAATCTACAGGCACATCATAGTTTAGAGGTGATTGCCTGTTTTCGTTTGGTCTCCAGTTCCCTGAAGCAATGATGAGGCTAGTCATTTCAGATGCCACATCAAACAAGCAACAGTTAGCACACACCAGGGTTAGGAAGTCCACTTTAAAGCATGAAGTCAAGCTTCCTGAATCATGGCTTGATGAGAAACCTGGATTGAGAAACCATGTGTTTATTTATTTTAATAAAGGGATAAACAATTATGACACCGGGATTGAAAACAACGTCAAGATTGATTCTAATCCTACATGTTTGAAGTCATGTTTTAATGTAAGTTGTCAGAATGTTTTTATCTATTGTTGCAAGCCCCAATCTCTGAGCAGTGCAAGATTCCAGGGGTTCCAGGCACTTCCCCAGGGTTTGTGTTGCCTTCAGATACTGTGGTGTCTTTAGAATATATGGTTTATTTGCACATATGTACAACCTTAGCCTGTGATGGAGGGCTTCGCAGCATCAACACCCCAAAAGGCTTTTTACATAGCCATAGCCCTGGATTCCTGCAGAAATTAGGCATGGTTCTGTCTCCCTGCTGCCCAGCCTGCAGCCTTGCTTCTAGATGACACACACACAACTCTCAGCTTTGGCCTTTGTCTTTCTAACTACCAGCGAGTTGAGGAAGGGAGGCCCACCCAGCTGCCATATGGTACAGAGCCACTTCGTTTGTTACCTTAGCTACCCATATTTAGGCCATTACCTCATCGGGAAGCTAGCCTGGCTATTCCATGAATTTGAATCCGTGCTTAGATTTTTAATGCTGGATCCAGGAATTAGAAGGGTCTTGGCATACAGCCTCCAGAAACTCATAACAAGAGAGCGAGAGCAAGCACTCTGGAAAGGTAAAGGGGAAAGAATCTGTGTGCTAAACATGTCTTACAAAACTCCTGGGATCTTTTTTCTCAGTTCATACTTTTCATACTCTGCCCTGACCTTTTGTATATACGAGTGCACTTGTCTTCAGGGTGTTTGTCCTCACAAGACCTCTGTGCAAAGTATAGCACAATCATACCCAACCTGGTGCCCTCCATAAGCCATTGGCCCACAGATCCCACCAGTCCCAGGCAGCATCTCCAATTCTCAGGAGGGAAGGTGTCATCCAAAACCACGTTGGTGGGGAGGGTCTTATTCCCATGACTCTGTGGACTGAGCAGGTATTTGAACCTCCATCTCTGTCTTTTTTCTGCCAAGGCCTTTATGTCTATAATAGCTTTGGAACAGGCAGAATTTATAGAGGTAAATCATGTCCACACCACTGGCAGTCTCAGGCCTGATCTGAACTGAGGAACCAGGCTACTTTTTAAAAAGAGGTTTGTATGTCACACATTGAAGGAAAGATATTTTGCATGCCTATCCAACACACTTCTAGAAACAAAAACTGTTTTTCAGCTGCTTCCTTTCTGCCTTATGACCTGAAAATTAAATATAGCACATTTCCATTCCAGCAAGCCAACCTCAAAATTGTGGGGTGATGGATGAGGTGGGATAAAGGCAGAGCCCCCCAATAGTGTCTATTAACAACACACACACACACATTGCAAAAGCAACTAAAATGATTATGAGGCTGGAGCAACTCCATGTAGAAATATTAAAATGACTGGGAATTTTTCATCTTTTTAAAAAAGGCAAGTAGATGGGCCAGATATGGCAGACATTTATAAATGGTGTGAAGAAAGTGGATGGGGAGATTCAATACAGACAAGAGAGAGTACTTCTTCACATATGGCACATTGCTAAACAATCTATTTGGTTACCACAAGGTATGCGGATGGTGATCAACTTGAATGGCTTCAGAAGGGGATTAGACAATTTTATGGAGGATAAGGCATCAGTGGCTGGCAGTTGCGAAGGCTATGTCCTTCCTCCAGGAGCAAAGGCCTCTGAATACCATTTGCTAAAAAATACCAGTTGTGTTCATGACCTGTCCATCTGGTTGGTCACTTTGGGAAACAGGATGCTGGGCTTAGCCAACGTAACTCTTCCTATGTACTTATCAGTTGCCTGTTCCGCACACCCTCTGGAGAAGCAGGTTTGCAGCTTGGGGGCACTTCTTGACCCACCTGTGTCACTAGAGTCTCAAGTGAACTCTGTGGCCAGGCCTGCCTTCTACCAAGATAATCCTGGCCACAGTAACCTCAAGGCTCGATTACTACATCATGCCTTATGTGCGGCTGCTTCTGTATCCAGTCCAGAAGTTGCAACTAGTGCAGATTGCTAAGACCAGACTGCTCACAAGTGCAAGGTCTGGCAACAGGGAGAGCTGCATTGGTTGCCAGTTGCCTACCAAGGCAGGTTTAAGGTTCTTGCTACTGTGCCAACTTCAAAGCCCCCCAAAATTGGGCCCAAAGTAGCTTCAAGATAATCATGCTGCTTATGTTCCCTCTCAGTCACTGAGATTCTCTGATGGGGCACAGCTAGTGGTTCCCCCACGCCCCTTTGCTTACCCTTTGCTAGGGACTGAGTCTTCCGTGTGGCAGGCCCTGTCTTGCTGAAATCCCTGTCAATAGAGGTTGGGCAGAAATCATCTCTGCGTTCTTTTAGACATCTGAAAACTGTGTCTCAAAGGCAGACCTTTGAGATGTGAATTTATTTTACCAACAAGTATTTATTTATTGGTTTCTATTATTTAATACCATGAATATCCAAGGCCATTTTTAAATGGGAGGTAATGGCTTAAACTACAGATATAAATTAGGCAGAAATGCTCTCAGTACTTTCCTATTCCACTTTTGTTCATATCTGGAGCACATGAAGACATTTCTAAATCTTCCTATCTGTGGTTTGGAGTATTCTTGTCTTGGTCCTATAGATAAGAACTTTCTCAGGCTTTCAGTTTACAGGGTTTTTTAAAGCAATATTACTTTTCTTGTACTGATAGTGTCAGCTGAAACAAGGAACTCTCTTAATCTTATCCAAACATTCTATTATGTGTACAGTTACTCCATGTTTTTGAATCCTATTTCCCCAGTATTGCAACCATCTTTGTGATAATAACCATTTCATCATACTTTTATTATCACTTTATCTTTTCCTCACATGCAAGAGAGATTCGTGTGGTTTGAAGACATGACAAGACTGTGACAGTATCACTATGGCTTTAAAGAATCATAATTCTAGGTATGGAAGGTATCAGAAGGTCATCTGTTTCCCTCTCCATCCTGTTGAAACTGTTCCAAACACAAGAATTCCTAACAGTTTATCTTGTATAATAGCTTTACAGCATGTCTTCACCTTTCAAAATATGATGTATCCCAAGCAAAGAGTAAGATTTTGTTGGTTAGTTTGGTTAAAAGAGAAAAATGTAGATATGGTATAATAAAATGAGGATTTCCTGGGTGCCTAGAGTACTTGGGGCAAGTACTATTTGGTGAGAGAGACTCAGCAGAGATTTAAAATCACAAAATATGCAGCAAAGGTGTGGAAATATAGGCTGTTAGATCTTTAAAATATCCCCTTCTGGTTTGCATCCAAAGTCCCCCACTTCCCTTAGCATAGAAAGAGAGACCACACGTTTGGTAGGTTAAAAATGGTTTACTTACAAATTCTTCAGATTCATGTGCTTTCCCATACAGCAGCAAGAAAAGACAGGCAGTATAACTTAGGTCCCAAAATGGTAAGAGTTTCTACATTATTGGAATAGAAACACAAATACGGCTTGCTTAAGTGGGGTTCACATGATGGAAGTGAGAGAACAAAGAGTTTGGCAACACTTCCTCCCAAGGTGAAGGGGGGTGACCTGGCTATGCCTGGCAGAACAGCTTACTCTATGGGCTTAACCCCTTCATGCATTAATCAGACTTAGGCATGTTGGTTATATGAGTATATCTCACAGATTTAGCATACCTTTTGTACCTGCAAGCAAAGAATAGATGTGCTGCCAGATCCTATGAATGTTAATTCGGAGATAAGTCCTCTGCGCTCAGTGAAGTTTACACATTAACAACCTATATCATTAACAACCATTAACAATCTATATCGCTGTTGCTGCTGTGCCTCATAGCAAGAAAGAAATGTCTGGAGTTGTTTGTCTTTCCCCACTAAGAAAATCTTCCCTAAAGAGAAAATCTGAGTTTGCCCACCAAATGCAACGTGTGTCTGAAAATGTATTCCTTTTTCAGTTTATGAAATATTTTCTACTGTTCATGTTCTAGATATATCAAACAGAATCAAGCTTGTGATATGTGTACTAAAGAGTAATAAACTTCTCAAGTCCTACACATACATGCAACAGTGACATACATAAGTGATTTATACCATTTTCGCCAAAGGATATATCTGGTTCTTTAATAATATTTGATGACTCATTATTATAGAATATTTGGGGCATCAGCTGGGAGGAATGAGGAATGAGAATAAAAATAAAAATAAAAAAGAATATAAAATAAAAAGAAGCAGTTGGAAGAGGATGAGCATGGCATTTGTAACAAATGACTTAAGTTCACCATGCAATTTATTTTTTATTGCATTACATCCCACCATTTTCGCTAAGGAGCTCAAGGTAGCATAGATGATTCTCCCCTCCTCACTGAATCCCCACAACAACTCTGTGAGGTGGGTTAGACTAACAGGCAATGACTGTTCTAAGGTTACCCAGTGTGAAGATTTGAACGCTGGTCTGACACTCTAATTGCTATGCCACACTGACTCCCTGTTTAGATGGTCTGCATTGTCTAGGCAGCATTCCAGCCATGGCCAATGAAAGCTTTAAGGGTACATATTTGGAGGAATACCTCCAAGCTGTCATGGGAAAAACACCTTTGAAAATGAGTAGGTGGAACAGTGATAACATCATATGATTAATTCCATAATGAGAGGTAACATCAAATGTCATGTGCTGCCTGAGGTCAATGATTACTTAAGGCAACTGGAATATGCACTCACTTTTCCTGTTTCCCAGTGATTAAGCAGTGGCTATCTTTGCTGACTAAAAATGCTGTACAGAAAGCACAGCTTTGCTGAGGACAATCACCTCCTTATTTTTGGTCAGACTTTAAGCAGGGGAGTAAAAACACAGCAAATCATTGAAGGAAAGATAGGGTCAACATCTTTCCTTCACAATTTCTCTCCTGGTCAGTCGGGGAAGGTGAGAAAAGAGCCATATCTTTTCACCTTAATATTTGGGGAAGCTTGGGCTGCTTTGCACCAATAGTTTCACCCCACAATTTCATGTGAATGCACGCCAACCAAGGTAATTTGTCCCTGTACTGGGTCTGTGCCAGAAAGTAAGTAGAGAATAACAGAAAATACCAAGTGGGAGATAAGAGTTCTGGAGGTTTGAGACATATAGTGTTTGCCTTATGTCACATTCTCCCCTCGTTTCCTTTTTTCTTTATAGACGCCATGAGTAATTTCATGCGGTCAATATTCTCACCATGAGGTGAGATACCATAGTCGGTGATTTATATCACTCTGTGATGTGCCCCCAATGTGGTGAAGTATTTTATTTATTTCATTTTTATTCCCCCTGTTAGCCATAAAGCTCAGAGGACATGCCCCTAAACCAGGGACACAAGCCTTCAGAAAGGTGTACTGTAGTTTATTTCTTTCTCATTGTTTCCAATAGAAGGGAAATCAGATATATCTATATAGATATATCACAACTCCCTGGAAAACAACAGAGTGAAAGAGCTCAGTGGTGCTACCTGGCCAGAGAGACAGAGAGAGCGGTGGCAGCGGCAGCAAGGATTGGATAAGCAGAGGAGGTGCCTTCACTTTCCCTGCCAAGCCTGTAGGATTCAATCCTGAGGCTTTAATCACAGATTCTTTTTGTGTGTGTGTTTTTTTTATGGTACCACTGATTATAATTTTTTTTATAAAGAAATAGAAATGAAATCCTGGTGTACTGAAGGTTTATGTCTATGATCTGTGAACAAACTCCACCCCAAGTGCCAGTATTCATTTTTCTCCTCTGTTGATGTCTTCTAGGCTATTATGAGTACAGGTGCACCTTTCCTAGTTTAAAAGATTTCCAGAAATAATGACAGTCACATTTCCTGCCCTGTCTCAACTGCCCCCATCCCTGTACTCATAACTCCTTGCAGTTCTACAGAAAAACAGAAGTATCAAAGATCAGGAAAAAGGTTTAGGTTAAGACCGTTAGGATGAAAGATAAGTTGTTAGGCAGCTGGAAGCCAAAACGTTTTATCTAAAAGAACAGGCCTAGCCACGTTTCCATCTTGATAAGTGTTAGATTGGACATTTTTTACTTCTTCTTTTTTACCACGAGAGAAAGAACCACCAGAGGAAAGTTTGTGTCAGGGTCTTTACTCCATGATTATCAGGTAGACTTCATAAGTTCAGGAAACAGTCATATATGTATCTGGCTAGGGGTGCATATAATACCAGGTTCTAAAACACACATGAAATCACCAAAGCACGTATCTCTGAATTAAAGCACTCAGTTCTTTGCATGGGTTATGTGCTAAAGGACAAAAAAGTTTTCATTAACAAAGTGAAAACAAATTAGCAACGTTCACTAGATAAAACATTTTGGATGCTTCTAGCTATGTTTCTGATGAAGAACAAGATCTTGAAATGCAAGGGCTTCATGATTCTTTACCCTGCTCCTTCAAAATGGCTGCAGTAGTAGATTACCTTTGGTTTTTTGGTTTTGTGAGAGTTACCCTTCTGCTAATTTTCATTGTTTTCTAAGTGACGTGTGATCAGCATATAGAATTCAGAAACTTTTGCTCCAGTGGCTTCTACTTCTCTGAAATGAGTTTTAAACCCCCACAGAAACCCTTGGGAGTTGCCTTTCCTTGGAACTCTCCAAGGAAAAGGTTTCCGTAATCTCCCATGGTTTGTTTGTATTCCAGTTGCATCATCCTTACATCAGATTTGGTTAAACAGAGATCTACTAAGACTAGCAGATTGGGAAGAGGTAGAAAGCAGCGAACACACATCTCAAGAAGAGCACTCTAGCACTCTTCTTTTCCTCATCTTTTAAAAAGCCAACACTGAGCTGCCATGCTCATTCTTAACAAGCATTAATGCATCACTTATAAATGCACCACTGGGACATGGGGCAGATGTTCTTATATGGGGCGGTGGAAATAAACATTTTCTTCTCTTGAGATTTTATTTTCATATTTCAGGGGATGAGGGGAAAAAATGTGTCCAACATATCCCCTCCTTATGCTTTTCATGCATTTCCCCATAGCTGTTCATAGCTTTGGTGCTCTGATCTGTTGCTGCTTCTCGGGCAAGGTGAATGCATTCTCCCCATGTGCCAAAGAAACTGTTACAGCTCCCCCACACATTATGCTGTGCTTCAAATGTCATGGTCTTTTGACCTCCTAGTTTAATACTTCTTTCTCTCAACCTACTGTCCCCCCCCCCAAAAAAAAAGAATCTGGTCCTGCTCTGCTGGATGAATTTCAGCTGTTGAGGCCTGAGGATATGGGCAAGGTCAAGTGTGTGATCCACTTTGCACGTACTCAGTCCTAACCCCTCTTTGCTCAGGGTGGGATTGACTAGCTGGGTCCAAGAATTGAAAACTGCCTCAAGGGAGATGATGCTCTCAACTGCTCTAATAGAGGCAGTGGTCCAACTGCTGTTTTTAAGAACTCTACTCTAGATTCACAAGAATGTAATAATGATTGCCCCCCCCCCCCCGCTGTTTCCCTTGTCTTGGGCATGCATTACAGCACGTGGTCCCTGCACAACTCCAGGATGAGACCATGTTTCCAGATCAATTTCAATAAGGTTCAGGTCTGGATTTGGCATTGGCTGCTTTGAGAGCCTTAAAAGATTACCTATACCAGGGGAAAAGATGAAAGAGTGTCACCCTCCTGATTTTCTTGGCCCTCTCAGGAGCTTTTAATGCCACTAACCATGTTACAGTTATTTAGTTAAATCATTTGCACTTCAAAGAAATGCCTTCTGGACTTGGGAGTCTGGAGTGAGAATTGGAGGCACTGTGTGGTAATGGTTCTGATCCTGCCTGGATGGCATATTCCAGGTGCTGGTTCCGGGAGCTCAGCTCCTTTGTATTTATGCTGTAGGGCTCTGCAAGTTCTGTGCTGTTGCCCCTGTTATTTAACATCTACACAAAACCACAGAGTGATGTCATCCAAAGGGTTGGGTGTGTGAAGTTATCAACATGCAGATGACACTGTAATAATAGATCATTAGCAGCTTCAAGATATGAGGCTGAAGTTAGACACTAGTTTCCAGTTCCTTACGCCTAGTTCTCAGCTTATTTGGAAGTCTGAAACAAGGTGAGCAGGCTCAGTACAGAATTGAAGTTTATATGCCCATGTTCTCTAAAAGCATTCTTTGGGCTACCCAGGGTCATATATTTCCATAACCAGAGGACCATCCCCTTTGACCTCCAGAAGAATTCTCGCCACTCTCCCTTCCTGCAGAGCCTAAAGGAAGGTTATAGGTACTATGAGAAATTTTTGAGCTTGCAAGTGCAGCCTTGATGGAGCTTGTCCAGCTTAGAGGAGCACACTACTAAAGTTACCTTGTCTGAGATACCCTCTAAACCAGAGCTTTCCAAACTGTGTGTCACAGATGTTAGTGTGCTGGCTGCAGTGTGTAGGTGTGTCATGCAATATGTGTCCGTATCTCTTATAAGGAGTTAGTCTAACCTCGAGTTTGCTAGGAAAACTGAATTACCATGTCACGAAATGATGCATGTCTAAAAAGTGTGTCACCAACATGAAAAGTTTGGAAAGCTCT